CATACAAATATTTGGAATATATTTTATAATTTAACTTTACAATAGAAAAACTGGCATGCTCAAATATTATTTCTTGATTATTATGTATTATGAATTATTTATTTATTCGGATTATTATTATTATACCCAATCAGTTTGTTAACCTTACGTATATCCTATTTCTACATGGAATAATATGCAAATATAATATGATTTGCTTTTATTTAAATTCATTATACATATTACATACGTTTTGAAAGGTGAGATGTTAGGTGACATCGCATAACGAACACCAAAGATGGAACACCTAAACCGTTTTCCATGAATCTTCGTATATTTTGGTATGGTAAAAACACTTCACTACTAAAAACGAGTATAAAGGTAAAAATACTGAAAAATCGATAAGTCATTACAGTTGTTAGTGCTGCGAAAAACAAATGGGACGTATAGTAGTTTTCGATCATTGTCTCCACAAGTTTTCTAGGATTTAGTTTTAGGATTTATTATTGTAACTAATATTTACGCGAGCGTTTTTTTCACTCAACAAGAGTGGCTGAATTTCCTTTTACTTTTTTTACGGTGTTCATAATAATATTTTCGGATTTATGTTCATTATGACATAATGACGTGTCAAACTTGAAAGTATCGTGATGCACGAGCTTTACAAACTACAAGTTTAGTATCTAGTATTAACTATCGATATTATCATTAATCAAGATTCCAACGGTCGTTAGAGTTTGATCATATGCAATTTTATTGCCGAAACTGTCAATCGAACTTTTCTGTCTGACAATAAAATAATAAATTAAAAACAAAATTATTCAACTGGTTAACACTAGTAAATAGATATTATATAAAATAAAAATAAATAAATGAATTAATGCGTCACCTGGAGTATTATGATAATTGTATTTTACATATTAGGCATTTATCAATTAACATAACAAATAACTTAAACAACGAATTATAAAAAGGCTACGTATCGGTCATAAACTTTTATTCAAAATATCTTTTACAATTTAGGAAATGTGTATTGTGTGGCACACAAGTAGATATTATGAATATAATTCGTGGGCCATGGGTAATAAATATCATTATTAATCTGATAAATAAGTTTTACCTGTAAATATAAATAAAATACAAATTATATTCTTATTAAAAATATTAGCTTAATTTAGATTCTGAGTGTAGCGATGAATATATTGATTTTAATAATGTGTTATCTAATTTATTTTTTTATTTTTTTATAATTTGTACGATAATTCTACCAGAAATCTTGCTCTGATTTTTTGCTCGCCATCATATCTTAAGGGGAATATTGTCCAGATGGTACTTTTTGAAGGTTATTTTTTAATATCCAAGCGGTTTTTATAATACCTGCAAAAAACGAGGACAAACCGCAAAAAAATGGGAAATTTATGAAAATAATGCTATTATTTTTTTCTCAATTTTTTTATTTGTTGTAATATTATATTAAAAAAATTCATAGAGACTCGAAATATGAACTTCTGCGAATTTCGTGACATTTAGACATCGAATGTCACCGGAAATAGAAGTCGAATTCTTAAATTTATTAACTATTATAACATCCCTAAAATGAAAATCTCTTGAAACAGGCACACTCTTATAGTCTTAGTTATTGAATTATATTGGTTTTTTAAAAAAATTAATATTTCAGCGAGTGATACATAACGCTAGGGAGTGACAAAATAATATATGTACACTATCATTTCTGTATGAAATTTCAGTTTTTTTTAAAATAAAATACATGCATTAAAACAAAAACTTTAACTGCATAAAAGCATATGTCATAATATTATAATTACATATTGTCTTACATAATGTATGTTTGTCGTAACTGAATGGTTATACAGAGTGCCGGAGCAAAAACGACCACGTTTGAGATAAGCGTAACTTTGGAAGGGGGCGTCGCACAATATTGCCGAACTTCTCATTGTATAGTACGTAACAGAAAGTTAAGTATAATATCACAATGGAGTATTAAACATCGCTCGTTCGCCGTAGAGACATATTTTCGGAACAATGAGTCAATCGTGGCTACACAACGCGTAATCCGCACGCGATCCGGACTTTCTTCGCGTTTGTTCCCAACCACCGATCGATTTTAAAATTTAAAAATGAAACAAGCAGTGGCGCCGTCCTGTTGAAACCAAATATTTTCAGTGTCTATTTCATTTTCNGAAGAAAAAAAAAATTCAACGTTATTCAGGCATTTATATTTTTTAATACCTCTGTGACTGAAATATCACCAAATTTGGAGAATGACTCATGTCCTTTCTAGACATAGTAAAATTTTCAAAAAATTTAAGCCAGTTCTGAGCTATTTATAGACTTTTTAATTTACTGAGTTGTGTACGTAATTTTTATTCGGTAAGTACTCTGTAGTAAAATGATTGGACTTAACAAGAATGCTTGAAAAATAAACAGGAGGTTCATAAAGAGTCTAACTTTGTGGTCGAAAAAAGAAAATTTGAGTTTAATGTAGTATTTTTTATAATAATATTTTGTATATTAAAATTTAATATACAAAATTTTAATGAAAATTGTTAAGTAAAAAATAATGTGAAAAAAATGTAATTTTTCAATTTTTTTTTTTTTTTTAAACATAGGTATATTGTCGATTTCAGAACGATAGTGAAGTCAAAATTAAGCGAACTAAGTCGCTAAAGTACAAACTTTTGAATTTTTGATATTATGTGTTATGGTAAATAACAAATTATAGTCTTATTTAATGAATGCTTGTCGTAGCTGAATGGTTATACAGAGTGCCGGAGCAAAAACGACCACGTTTGAGATAAGCGTAACTTTGGAAGGGGGCGTCGCACAATATTGCCGAACTTCTCATTAAATAGTACGTAACAGAAAGTTAAGTCAAAATATCACAATGGCGTAACAAACATCTTTCGTTCGCCGTAGAGACATATTTTCGAAACAATGGGCCAACCGTGGCTACACAACGCGTAATCCGTACGCGATCCGGACTTTCTTCGCGTTTGTTCCCAACCACCGATCGATTTTAAAATTTAAAAATGAAACAAGCAGTGGCGCCGTCCTGTTGAAACCAAATATTTTCAGTGTCTATTTCATTTTCCTCCAAGTAGGGGGAAAAATCTTAGAGCATAGCAACGTAACGTTCACAATTCATCGTAACTATCTGGCCTATTTCGTTTTCTAAAAAATAAGGTCCAATTATTCCAATTTTGACAAAAAAAAACACATTATTTAATGTCACTATATGGGGAATACGTCTAGAAGTCTTTGGGGCCTCATTACCATGTTCCCGAACATCCATAATCTATTTAAAACTCGATCGGCGGTTGGGAACAATTGCACAAATTTACAATGATAGTACAATTTCTGAAAGAAAATCTTACTAGAGAGGTACATAAACGAGATCACTTTTCGATTTGCCAAGATTTTTCCCAAAAAATGTGAAAAGCCATAAAAAAGACAGGAATAAGGCAAGAAAAACGAGAAAGTCGGTACAATATTAAAAAAATATTATCAAAGAAAATATATTATGCCCATTTAATTATTTACCATTTATTATCAATTATTATCGTCATATATTGTCATTTATAATAGCATATAATACACAAAAGAAAAATAATTTTTTTTTTTTTTAATATAATAATAATAACAATACATTCACCTATGCGATAATAAAAACTAATCGAAACTTCTTGTAAAAACAATTTTTATTTTCATAAAAAAAAACCTTTATTGTTTAATAACTCTTTTTAAAACATAAAATTAAATCAATAAAAAATATATTTTAATATTAAAATTATCAAATATATCAGAAAACCATAATAAAATGTTTTTAAAGTGTAATAAGCAATCCAGATTCTGAAAAAAAATATTTAAAAACCTATTTTTAATAAATTTACTTTTTACGTGAAATATAAACTACGGAGACAGATATAATTACTTGTTATATCTCTGTTTAGCTTCCGGGCTATATTCGTTTTCTTTGAGAATATGACGTTTGAATCCTTTAATACTTTTTAGAAAATAATCTTTCCATACAATATTGGATATTTCCATGTTGAACAATCTTTTGTCCATATCGCTCTGCGATGCAATCAGCTCTTGTAAACGAGTGTCATCGAAATGGAAATGACGGGAGGCGAAAAATTCTAAGTCTTTCATCATGGTGTTCAGTGTTCTATACAGTCTTACCGTTCTGTTAAAATAAATGTATAGTTATTTTTGTATAAATATAATGCACTGCACCGAATAAAGCAACGAAAAAAATTGTTTTAATTTCTCTTGTAACTTTTTAGCGTTTTGTCATTAATTTATATATTTCCCAACCTTAATTCGTAATATAGAAATACTTTGTAACCTAATACATATCAATTAAAAAACAATACG